TGATTTCGCGCCGCTGATAATTAATTTCAGCGCGAAAATTTTGATTTAAATTCGGTCACCACAATATCCTCAAAAATTCAATTTTGTTTTAAATTAAAACGTTTCTTTATAACCTATTTTTTTTACCTTTTTCTGTCACATTTCTGTAGTTCGAATTGATGTTAGTCTCATACGGAATTGCTTAATTTCTCAATTTATTTTTGTACTTTGAGTTGTTTTAGATATTTTTTCGTCCATTGCGTCTGTTTTATACGACTTTTGCGTATGTATGTTCAATTCGTTTTTACTTCATGTATCAGAAAACAATCGAAAAAAATTCCTCTAGCAGGTCCTGAAATATATTTTTTTAAAATGATGTTGACACTTTATTTGTAACTGTTAGGCTGAACAAGGAATCTGTTGGTGTTGCCAACATTATTATTTTAAAAATAAATTTCATGGCCAACTAGAGGACTTTTTTTCTATCGTATGGTACTTACCATAATAATTATCTTCTTTTACGTTTACGATTTAATCTTTATTGCCAACTGTTTCAAATTTGTATTGAAATTATTCATGTTTAATCTTGCAGTTAATTTTTCTTAGAACCTACCATATTTTCTTACAAATTACAAAACAGTCGGTAAGCTGATTTTTGATGATTTTCTATTACTGTTTCTTTTGTTTTGACTTTTGCGTGTCCATCTACTACTAAACTAAAGTTTATGTGTTCAGTACGTCATTGAAATTTAAATTACGACGATAATGTTATCTAATACAGAATTTGAATTATGTAAACTTTTAATTATCGCTGTTGAATAAGAATTCCAAAACAAACGCATGCGTCAAATAACAAAGGTTCGTGAGTAAGAAATTAGTGAATTATTTGCTGAATTATTCAATTTGTATTTATAGCAAATCATGAGGTAAGTTTTGCACATTTTTAAAATTGAATTGCGAAGGGGAATATGGAAAAAATATTGTTAAAAAACTTGGATAAATGCGAACATTAGTTGCGATACGCTATCAAAGACTTATTCGAAAACAAAAACAAGAAAGCAGTAAATAATAATGGTTTACTTTTTCTTGCTTGTTAGAGTAATCCCAGAGAACATAGAGAAGCGTCATACTTTAAATTAAATGACGGTTCAGGACTCCTCGACTTATGTTGGCAACAGTGTTTGTTTTCTTTAACTAGGAATAAAATTAACTAGAAAAAATGTCGTAATATTTTTAACGACGCGTTTTACTTTCGGCAAACTGACACTAGATTTACCAGAATATTACAAGTTGCTTACTGTTTCCTTCACTTTAATTCAGGTCACACAAATTACAGTTCGTCGTCTGAGAACTTGTTTGATCTACAGACCAGAGCGCACTCAGGCCAATGTCGACTCAAAGCGTTCGGAAACGACTTAATTTATAAGCCATGATCCGTGATCTGATACACATCCTAACCGGTTTCGACTATAATTTCTGCTGTTTCAACTTTCGAATTCTCAGTTTTTCGAAATTTTAGTTTGGGGACTTTTCAGTTTACTCCTATTTATTTTTCAATTTTTGGATTTTACAATTTCTCAATTTTTCAATTTCTCGGTTTTCAGTTTTTCTCTTCAATTTTACGATTTTTTAATATTTAGATTTTTCAGTTTTTGACTTTTATAAACTCTTTATTTGTCGATTTTTTTAATTAATTGATTTTTCAGGTTTTTTGGTTTTTCAATTTTTCTATTTTTTCAGGTTTCGATTTTTCAACTTCACTTTTTTGATTTTTCGATTTCTCAATTTTTCAATTTTTTAATTTCTCAGTTTTCGAACATTCCAGTGTTGGGATTTTTCAGTTTACTTATTATTCAATTTTTCGATCTTACGATTTTGCAGATTTTTGATTTTTCAATTTTTCGATTTTTTAAAGTTTCGATATTTCGATTTCACTTTTTTGATTTTTCGATTTCTCAATTTTTCGATTCTTTAGATTCTCAGTTTTTGGATATTTCAGTTTTGGGATTTTTCAGTTTTTCGATTCGTCAGTTTTTCCTTGATTTTTAGTTTTTCGATATTTCAGTTTTGGGATTTTTCAATATTTCTGTTCTTCGACTTTTCCATTTTTGACTTCTGGATTTTTCGATGTGTCGACTTTTTACTTTTTGTCGTTTTTTCAATTTTTCAATTTTTAAATTTTAGATTTTTCAGTTTTTTGATATTTTAATTTTTCAATATTTAAAATTTTAGATTTTTCGATTTCTCGATTTTTCTATTTTAAGTCATGCTCGTGTCGCTTTAAGTGTTATGGAAACGTGAAACGTTCTGTTGTCTCTATTGTGTACCCTGTCATTTTATTGTGTTATTGTATTTTATATTTTGTACATTGATCTCTGTAACTGTAGAATGATCAATAAAGATTAAAGATTAAGATTAATCCATCGACTTCCCGGTTTTAGATTTTCTGTTTTTCAGTTGTCGTTTTTCAGTTGTTTTTCAATATTTCGATTCTTCGACTTTTCGATTTTTGACTCCTGGATTTTTTGATGTGTCGATTATTTTATTTTTTCGATTTTTCAATTTTTCGATTTTTAAATTTTAGATTTTTTAATTTTTAAAATTTTAGATTTTTCGATTTCTCGATTTTTCAGTTCAGTTCGATATTTGAATTTTTCACGTACCTATTCGAATTTTTCAAATGTTTCGATTTCTTAATCTTTTGATTTTTAGACTTCCCGGTTTAAGATTTTCTGTTTTTCAATTATTGTCATTTTGCCAAATTTTCGATTTTTTAATTTTTCAAATTTGACTTTCATAAACTTCCAATTTTTCGATTTTTCAATTAATCGATGTTTTGATTTTTCCCTTTCTTGACCTTCGAGTGCTTCGATTTTCCTGTTCTTCAATTCTTTAATTTTTTGATTTTTCAGGTTTTTAATTTTTCAATTTTTCGATTTTGTAAGGTTTCTATTTTTCGACTTCACTTTTTTGATTTGTCGATTTTTCAGTTTTAGATATTTCAGTTTTAGGATTTTTCAATATTCAATTCCTCGGCTTTTCTATTTTTGACTTCTGGATTTTTCGATGTGTCTACCCTTTTACTTTTTCGATTTTAAAATTTTTGGATTTTTAAATTTTAGATATTTCTTTTGATATTGTAATTTTTTAAAATTTCTTAATCTTCCTATTTTTCACTTCCTGGTTTTAGATGTTCTGTTTTTCAATTTTTCGATTTGTCAATTTTTCATTCCCGATTTATCGCGATTTGATTGTTCAGGTTTTCGATTTATCATTTTTTTCAATTTTTTATTTTGGCCTATGTCGGTTTCTCAGTTTTTCCAGTTTTCCATTTTTCTGTTTTTTGATTTTTCCGCTTTTCCAGTTTTTCAACTTTTAACTTTTTGTTTGTTGATTTCTCTATTTTTCGATTTTTCGACTTAATCACTTTTCAGTTTCTCGTTCTTTGGATCTTTCAATTTTTCGAATTTTTAAGTTTTTCGATTTCTCGATTTATCGAGTTTTGGATTTTTCGATATTTTGATTGTCAATTTCTTAATTTATAAATTGCTCAATTTTTAACTTTTCGATTTTGACCTATTTCGGTTTTCGACTCCATGATTTCTTGATTTTTTGATTTTTCGATTTCTCAGTTTTTCGATTTTCCAGTTTTTCGATGTTTCGATTTTTCAGTTATCCGATTTTTTGAATTTGGGAGTTTCGATTTCTCGATTTTCAGTTATTCGATTTTTAAATTTTACATTTTTCCGATTTTCAGTTCTTCGATATTTTAATTTTTCGAATTTTCGATTATTTTAATTTTTCATTTTTTTTCTCACTGTTAATATCATACAGTGTATCGAAAACATCCACAAAAATTGTCACTAAAAACATTAAAAAAAAATTCATACAAAACAGAACACAGTGTTTCCAAAACGTTTTCCCGAAAAAAATCCATTGGGTGATACGATTTCAACAATATTCTTAGTTTAAGACGTTTTGCTAGTATAGAACACAAATAAAGAATTAATTCTTAGTTAAACAAAATATGTAAAATCATCTAAATATGTACCAAAAATATATATTCACTTAGTCGTTATAAAAACCGACCAAACAACTATTTCCCGCAGAAATTATAGTCTAAACCAACCAAATCGCTTCTGAACGCTTAGAGTCGACATTGGCCTAAGCGCGCTCTGGTCTTTAATTCAAACAAGTTCTCAGGCGACGAGTTGTAGGAACTCAAGTTTTTTTATTGGCATCGACTATTTAAATTTGACGCTCGCCTTTGGCGGTTGATGAGTCCAATATCAATAGGGGTGGTTTTGCAAAATCAGCCTGTGTGTCGCATCTATATTAATCTATGGTAATGCAAACAGAAGGGGAAGATGTTATCTTTTGTTGGTGACGATTAATCAATGATGCAAATTTTTGGGTTGGTAATACTGAATTATTGGCAGCAATGTCAGTTTACTGTTGTACCTGACAAAAAAACCACAAACATTAATATGTAGTTACTCGGTATATGTCAAGGTTTCATCCAATTTTAAACATTCCTGTAATGCAATCTCTCTAGTTTTGCAACCATTGCGATGTGTATGACAAAAATTTTGAAATTATTTTGACACCTCGTAGTTTCCAACTTTAAATGCTAACTTTGCGCTCAATTAAAGCGGTCTTTGGTTTGAAAATATTTTTTATCACATTTGATAAAAATAATTAATTGTACATTCTGCTGTGGAATGTAAACATCTGGCAGCAATTATCATACAATTGCAGTTGCCATGGTAGTAGTTATTACATAAAAAAAGTCCAAAAAAGTGCATTCTGTAAAATTTTGGTTTCCACGTAAAACTTGTTTTGTGTTTTTTGTACGTGATTTGATATTTTTAAGTTTGTACTAACGCAATCGTTAGCACTTAGATCGTTAGCAAATTTTATCTCAGTCAAGTTATTTTGCCTATAATAAATAACGTTTTAACACTAATTGCTTGACAGGCCACCTTATCGCCAAAGTAAAACTTCTTGGTGGTGAACAATTGGTAATTCAGTTTTACTACAATAATTAATTGAACCATAAAATTGCCGTTGTTTTCTTTCCGGAGTATGACAAAAAATTCACTGACACCCATACATCTACAATAAAATAATTTATAGTTTTATCGGCAGTCGAGCAATGTTAAGTTTAAAATCATTTATTTACCGACTGAATGTGAAGTAGTATGTGCTAAGTCTGTATTCTGGAAGTTTTCGAAGAGGTAAGTTTATGTTATTGTTTATTTGTTTATACGCTTTCTACTGAAGTGTTAAACGTTATAGTCGTTGTTTATATAAAATAGTGGTAGTAAATTCGAATAATAGCACTCTTAAATTAATTAGAAAACACTCCAGAAATAGTAGTCGATAATAATAGAACATTAGAGTTATGTTCTAAATAACTATAATTTATGAGGTTGTGGCCTAACATAGAAAATGTTTAATTTTCAAACCCAGTTTTATCATTTTTTTGTAAATCAATCAATGGAAGCATTGTTCTACAAATAAAGCACACCTTCGTAAATTTTTACACAATGTCTCTGCCCACTTTTGTCTCAAAATTTAGTTCATACTTTTCTTAATTAAAAATTGTTGAATGGAGAGTACGCTTCAGTGGTTGCACTGTGGTGGCTGTTAAATGTTTTTATCGTGATTTAAAAACTTCACATATATAACACTTGTATATATTTTTGTAATATATTTTTCATCTTGGATATCGGCGTGTACTCTCCGAAACTTTGTTTTCATTGGCAAAACTTCGTCGTAACTTTGTTACTTTTATCTTGGTTTTGCTCTTTTACAGTTCAGCTAAAACAAATATTTACTATACATCGCAGTAGCAAACTTTGTTTGAATCAGAGTGCACATGCATAAAATAGTCCGATTTATATAATTATTTCATACGACCTTATCACTAAAGTACTTTCAAGAAGGTAAACGTCTCGTGTGATTTAAACGTTCGTGCAGAAATTGGTAATCCAGTTTTATTGCAATGACCAATTGAACTGTATAATTAACGTTATCGACTTTCCGTATACAAATATTCGCAAGCACCCACGAATCTGCGTTAAAATAATTCTAGAAGTGTTTAATCGGGCGGATTTATTTGTTGAAATTTAATTATTACTTGCACGTGTTTCAACATGTACTAATTGTACGATTTCTCTTCCTATTTACGTTGTTTTCTTTCACCTATAAAACAGGAAATTCTGTATTTTTCAAGATTTTTTATGTGGTGATTTTGTGGTGTTGGTACCCCTCTCGTAAAATCTATTGGAGAATTAAATGTAAGTAAATAATCGATTTGTCTTGCGCACTTTTACCGGGTGATGGTACATTTAAGTAATAAAATTCTTAAGTTAATTGAGTAGAAAGGTTCTAATTTTCTTGTAATATTAAAAAGTCAAGTTGAATTAACAAATCTCATTTAATGAAAGTGGAGCAACTACGCATATGAATGATATATTAAAACGATCTATTATAAGGAATAATTTTGCACCTGTCGATGAACGATTTTTTGTTTTTTATAATATGACTTTCAAACGCCATTCTCATAGTTTATTTTTAAATTATAAAAAAATACATCATTTTGTTGGACAGAAATAATGCATCGGTCAGAGATAATAAAAATAATAATACAGCACAAATTAATTGCTGCTAGGGAAAAAACTCAAAGCCCTTTCGTACACAACAAGTGTATTATTGTATAACATTTAAATAATTTTAATACAGAATGTTTTGAGATGACATCCGTAAATTTTTGGTCGGTACCCAGCAGCGAGGGGTATTAAGCTCCTCCGCCTTCTCTCTGCGGATTGCCATAATTCCCTAAACACTCAAGTAGAATAAAATGGACAAGGACTAAAGTCTCCTTCCTTGATTACAGAGATTGATTGCACATACCTTCTTCAGGTAGAAACTGTGCTGTAGTATCACACAATAAAATATGTTCAACTCAGAAAGTATTTAATTAATCGAGTTTAAACAGGTAACCGCCATATCCGTACAAACCATTATTTTTTAACAAAAATGAATATTTAAATTTATCATGGGTAGATTTTAAATGGGAAGTTGTTTTTTTTTATCAACCTGGCTTAGTGAGAAATCGAATAAACTGACAAATATTGACAATTCGAAAATAAAACAAGACGAAACCTCGGAATGAAATATACAAAAATTATCTTCTGTTTATCTTCTATCTATTTCAATTTCAGGACTTTTAAATACTTCGACTTTTAAATTTTTCTATTTTCCAGGCTTTTGATTTTTCGATTTGTTGATGTTTTGATTGCTCGATTTTTAAAATTTTCAATTTTTCGAATTTTTAAATTTTTGATTTTTCACTTTTTTGTTGTAGCGATTTCTCAATATTTCGATTTTTCCCTTCTCATTTTTAGATCATCACATTTTATGCCAATATACGAGCTCTGGTTTGTGGAGGAGGCCGGGGGTAGAAAATTTTAGTATACAGTAATGTTGCTCCCGCCTATATTTAATAATGATAAAATAAAAATGTCACAATAATATCGACTTAACCAAAATAATATTCAAAACGTTTCGCCGCATTGTAGCTTAATTAATAATTTTAATCGCTTCTTCTGTTTTGAGGAGACAATTTGCTGCGTGCTTAATTGTCGCATTCTTTCGATGTATAAACAATTGAAGATAAACATGTACTGATAATATATTTTTACTTCAGAGGCGAGGGAAGATCTGTCTAAATACCTTCAGACTAATATTTTGCGTTGCGCCTAGTGTTTTTTAATACAAACAAATTTTCGGGCCTCTTGTGTTTTGTTTTAAATACTTTTAAAAAATCTCGAGGATCCGTGGAGTTCTTTATTTGGAAAGAATTTTACAGAAGTTTAGGGGCTCCTAGCGGTTTTTTTTTTAAATATGTGATGTTTCGTTTTTGACGGAGAAATCAAAATATTGTCAAAACCGAGAAATTGAAAAATCAAGAATTAAAAAAATCTACAAAATGCAAATATCCGAAATTAAAATATCGAATAGATGAAAAATGTAAAATTTAAAAACTCGCAAAATTTTGAAAAATCGAGTAGGTAAAAAATCAACAAACAGAAAGTCGAAAAATTTAAAAATTTAAAAATTGAAATCTTGAAAATCCTAAAGTTGAAAAATTCCGAAACTTAAACAGAGAAATCGAAAAATTGAGAAATTTCGGAAAATTAAAAAACCGATTAATCGAGAAATCAAAAAATCGAAATCAAAAAGTTGGAAAAACGCGAAAACGAAACATCATAAATCGATAAGTTGAAAAATGAAAAAATTGGGAAATCGAAATAGCTACAGATTGAAAAATGGGAAAATTCAAAATTGAAAAATTGTAACTTAAAAAATCCGCTAAATCAAGAAATTGAAAAATCGGAATATCGAAAAACTGAAAAATGAATTCCGAAAAATTTACAAAATCTAGAAATCAAAACATCAACGAATCAAAAAGTCAAAAAATTGAAAAATCGAAAAGTGTAAGATTTAAAAAGTCGCAAAATTTGAAAAATCGAATAAGTAAAAAATAAAAAAAAACAAAAAAACAATAAATCTAATAATTTAAAAATTGAATTGCATAATGAAACATATCAAAACTAGAACACTGAAAATTTGAAAATCGAAAAATTGAAAAACCGAGAAGTCGGAAAGTCGAAAATTAAAAAATTCATTAATCGAGAAATTGAGAAATCGAAAAATCCAAAAATTTAAAAATGCCAAAATTGAAATATCGAAAAATTTCAATAAGTACACAAATCTCAAAACTGAAACCTCGAAAAATTGGAAACTCGAATAATCGAAAAGAGGAATAATGGAAAAACTGAGAAATCGAGAAATCGAAATCGAAAAATTGGAAAAACGCGAAAACGAAATATCAAAAGGTCAATAAGTCGAGAAGCCGAAAAATCGAAAAATTTAAAAATGGAAGTGGCTAAAAATCGAAAAATGGGACTATTCAAAATTGAAAAATTTTAACTTAAAAAAACCGATATACCAAAAAGTAAAAAATAGAAACACTGAAAAATTAATTCTGAAAAATTCAAAACCCGGAAAATCTAAAAACGAGAAGCCGAAAAATCGAAAGGAAACCGTTAAATCGAAAAGTGAAAAATCGAAACACTGAAAAATTAATTCCGAAAAATGGAAAAATCGAAGAATCTAAAAACGAGAGAGCAAAAAATGGAAAGATTGAGAAATCGAACTAACAAAAAATGAAAAATTTAAAATTTAAAAATTCGAAAAATTGAAAATTTACGTAATCGAAATATTGAAAAACCGCAAAAACAGTGAAATTTGGAATATCGAAAATTGAGAAACGAGAAGTCGGAAAGTCGAAAAATTAAAAAATTGAGAAATCGAAAAATCCAAAAATTAAGGAACGCCAAAAATTGAAATTTCGATCTTAGGACCCATCTTATTTATTATATATACTGCCCAATTGCTAAACATGCCTTCATCAAGTAAAAAAAGAGCGTTTGCTGACGATACACAACTTTTGCTTCATTTTCAGCCTTCCCTAGTTGAGGATGCGTCTAATGATATCAATAAAGATCTTGTGAATATTGTTGAAGCTAATGTGCTTTGTACGTAAAAAACTCAGAATGGCTATTGCTAATAGATATTAGAATTGGAAATAAGAAGCTGCCTGTTTTGCAATCTGTAAAGAACTTAGGTCTCTTTATTGATGATGGTTTTTAAATTTAAATCTCATGTTTCGAACGTCATAAAAAATGTTATTTGGCGCTAAAAATGCTTTATTCAAATTTTTTAATTATGAACTTCAAACTCAAGAAAAAATTGTGTGAAGCGTTAGTATTATCTCATATTAACTACTGTTTTATAATATACTAACCATTTCTTGATTGTGTTGACAAAAATCGTCTTCAAAAAATTCAAAATAACTGCTGCCGCTTTATTTTTGGGTTCAGGAAATATGACCATGTATCAGCCAAGATTCGTGAACTTCGGTGGATGAAACTGAACGTAGTATTTCAATATCATTTAGCGGTTTTTGTATATCGGTTGTTTAAAACTCCATCACCTCCGTACTTGCGTAGGAAGTTTCGATCAAGACAAAGTATTTTAGATACTAATATACCACTAAGTAACCTTAAGCAGTTGTCAATGCCAAGATTTTTTACCTTTATTTTTTGTAAATCATTGTCATTTAACATTATTAAGTCTTACAATAAGTTTAATTCTGAATTGCTGTACTGTACTTCTGTGAGCAGCTTTCGGAAAAAAATAAAAAACATTCTGTTGCACTCCAAATCGTCATAAATTTAGTTATCTGGGACGCCTATATTTGTAGATATATATTCTGTATCCTAATTCTTAATATTTACTGTTAAATTATTGTGTGAATTATATATTTTTGTTGTGGTTATTACATATTTATATTATTATTTTCTTCCTAGCTATTGCATCTCTAAGTTAATTTTATCATTTTACTGTTTTTGCACTGAATATTTATTTTGTAAGTTTGAGTGGAATAGCCTATGGCTAGGCTCCGCCTAATCATGTATTATTTTAACATGAATAAAGTCCTATGTATGAGTGTGTGTATGTATGTATGTATGTATGTTTTGAGATGACATCATTAAATTTTTGGTGGGGATGATTTTCCAAATTTTACTTAGATTTTACCATCTGCATCATATTTCTAATATAAGTACGATCGCACGTAAAAATGTTGTCGGTAACGAGCAACGAGGGGTATTAAGCTCCTCCGCCTTCTCTCTGCGGATTGCCATAATTCCCTAAACACTCAAGTAGAATAAAATAGACAAGGGCCAAAGTTTCCTTGCTTGATTACAGAGATTGATTGCACAATACCTTTTTCAGGTAGAAACTGTGTTGTAGTATCACATAATAAAATATGTTCAACTCAGAAAGTACTTAATTAATCGAGTTTAAACAGGTAACCGGCATATCCGTACAAACCATTATTTTTTAACAACAATGAATATTTAAATTTATCATGGGTAGATTTTGAATGGGAAGTTGTGTTTTTTATCAACCTGACTTAGTGAGAAATCGAATAAACTGACAAATATTGACAATTCGAAAGTAAAACAAGACGAAATCTTGGAATGAAATATATAAAAATTTTGATTTTTCGATCTGTTGATGTTTTGATTGCTCGTTTTTAAAATTTTTAATTTTTCGAATTTTTAAATTTTAGATTTTTCACTTTTTTGTTGTTGCAATTTCTCAATCTTTCGATTTTTTGCCCTCTCGTTTTTAGATTTTTTGATTTTTCAATTTTTCGAAATTAATTTTTCAATTTTTTGATATTTCGATTTTTCAGTTTTCTTTCGATTTTTCCCTTCTCATTTTTAAATCATCACATTTTATGCCAATATACGAGCACTGGTCTGTGGAGGACACGGGGGGTCGAAAATTTTAGTATACAGTAATGTTCCTCCGGCCTATATTTTAATAATGCTAAAATAAAAAATGTTATAATAACATCGACTTACTCAAAACATTGATTCCCAAAATAATATTCAGAACGTTTTGCTGCATTGTAGCTTAATTAATAATTTTAATCGCTATGCTGGGTGCTTAATTGTCGCATTCTTTCGATGTATAAACATAAACAATTGAAGATAAACAACATCTACTGATAATATATTTTTGCTTCAGAGGCTAGGGAAGATCTGTCTAAATAACTTCAGACTAATATTTTGCGTTTAAAAGAGAAAGTCTTGCAGGCGGCTAGTGTTTTTTAATATAAAAAAAATCTTCGGGACTCTTGTGTTTTGTTTTTAAATACTTTTAAATACAGCCCCTAGAAATAAATGTATTTCTAGGGGCTATACTTTTAAAAAATCTCGACGATCCGTGGAGTTCTTTATTTGGAAAGAATTTTAGAGAAGTTTAGGAGTTCTCAGCAGCTTTTTTTTTAAATATGTGATGTTCGTTTTTGAATATTGTCAAAACCGAGAAATTGAAAAATCAAGAATTTCAAAAATCTAAAAAATATAAAAATCCGAAATTAAAATATCGAATAGATAAACAATGTAAAATTAAAAAACTCGCAAAATTTTGAAAAATCGAGTAGGTAAAAAATCAACAAACAGAAAGTCGAAAAATCTAAAAATTTAAAAATCGAAATCTTGAAAATCCTAAAGTTGAAAAATTCCAAAACTTAAATAAAAAAAAAATTGAAAATTTACATAATCGAGAAATCACAACACCAACGAATCGAAAAATCAAAAAATTGAAAAATCGAAAAATGTAATATCAAAAAAATCGTAAAATTTTGAAAAATAGAATACTTAAGTAAAAATTCAAAAAAAGAAAAAGTCGGTAATTCTATAAATTTAAAAATCGAAATACATATTGAAAAATCCTAAAACTTAAACAGTGAAATTTTGAAAATCGAAAATTGAGTAATCGAGAATCGGAAAGTCGAAAAATAAAAAAATTGAGAAATCGAAAAATCCAAACATTTAGAAACGCCAAAAATTGAACTTATGAAAAAATTAAATACATAAATTTCAAAACTGAAACGTGGAAAAATTGGAAAATCGAAAAATCGAAAAGATGAATTATCGAAAAATTGTAAAACGCGAAATTGAAACATCAAAAAATCGAGAAGTCGAAAAGTCGAAAAATTGAAAAATTAAGAATTGAAAGTGGCTAACAATCGAAAAATGGGCTAATTCAAAATTGAAAAGTTTTAACTTAAAAAACCGACAAAACAAAAAGTGAAAAATAGAAACACTGAATAAAATTAATTCCGAGAAATTGAAAAATCGAAAAGTCTAAAAATGAAAGGGCAAAAAATCGGAAGATTCAGAAATCGAATCAGCAAAAAAGTGAAAAATCGAAAAATGTAACATTTAAAAAGTTGCAATATTTTGGAAAATCGAATAAGTAAAAAATCAAAAACACGAAAAGTCGAAAAATTTTAAAGTATTAAGTACTAACATAAATAGAAGATAATTTGTATACATTTCATTCCGAGGATTCGTCGAACTGTCAATATTTGTCAGTTTATTCGACTTCTCATGAAGTCAGGTTGATAAAAAAACACCACTTCCTATTTAAAATCTACGCATGATAAATTTAAATATTCACTTTTGTTAAAAAATAATGATTTGTGTGGCGGTTACTTGTTTAAACTCCATTAATTCACTTTCATCTTAAGAAAAGTACTTTCTGAGTTGAACATATTTTATTGTACTTGTGATCCTAGAACACAGTTTCTACCTGAAGGAGGTACTGTGTAATCAATCTTTGTAATCAAGCAAAGAAACTTTAGTTCTTTATTTTCCTTTATTCTACCTCAGTGTTTATGGAATTATGGAAACCCGCAATGACAAGGCGGAGGAGCTAATACCCCTCGCTGCTGAGTACTAACAATACTTTTGCATGCGATATTACATAATTTAACAACTATCGGTCTAGTTAGTAGTTTCGTAGTAGTTTAGTAAAAATTGAGACACTTTCTGGTATGGTTCTTTGGGGATTATACTCTAAATTTTAACTATACAAAGTGATTTTATTTTAAGACGTAACACACAATTTAGTTTTTTTTTTTTTAATGAAATACCCTAAATACTTTTAGATATTCTCATTCGCCTCTTCCTAGGCTTTATAAGCATAATTTATTTTTAAAATTCCGTTGCGACGTTGTCATTCCAATTCTGAAAAAATTTTAAAATATCGAATGTTTATAAAAAAAATTTAAATCTTTACAATTTTCAGTTTTTTCAAATAGAACATATTTTATTACTATATCTTGTATGTATAGTATGTCGACGTGTCTCCTATTAAAAAAATAAAAAATTGCAGTAACAAAAAACAGAATCAGATAAAATATAGGGTGTTCTACTTGAAAAAAAACCGAAAATATCGATATTTGAAAATTGTAATAAGCAAACATTTTTTATATATACTGTGTATGTCATTTCATTTATACCACAACAAAGCGCATACGTTTATTGATCTCTCCAACGGATTTTTTGGACAAATCATGTCGCTAAATTGTCATTAACAGAACGTTTACAATACCTAAATATGCTGTATGCTTTTTCCTTGAAAAGAACTGTACATACGTGTGTATATTCAGGGTTTATTTCCAAGATGCAGTTGCACGGAGACAACAAAACGTGTATTGCAGCAGAGTAAAGCAGTAAATATTTATTTCAAAAGTAAACTTATTTTATTGTCACATGCAATAAAATTAACCATAAAACATCATCGATTATAACGAAAACTGCTGCTCACTGCTATTAAATGTGAGTTACAACAGAGTAAATATTATTATTATTGTGTGCTAATGCGTTAATTAGTTCCTTTGTGTGTTATATCGTCATTCTACGCTACAAGAAATTCATAAAACACGCCAATTTAGCAAACGTAAAACTTTAATTAATATTTTGAACTTTAATATATATAACATTGCATAACTTTCCCTTCAGTCTTAGACTTGGGTCTCCACTTTTTTTTTTACTTTAGTTGGAAACAATAAATACTTTTTTAGTGCATTCCCACAGGAAGTGTACACATACATATGTAATATTGAATTGAGTATAGGTTTTAATGAATTCATTCAAATTCATAATCATTGTGTCGTTAAAATATTTATGTTGATGGCCTTACACCAACACTTAACCCTTTCTTTCTTATAAAATTTGCAGCATCACCACTGCAACTATTTAAATTTTTCCCATTGCGTGGCGACATTTTGTTCGTATCCGCCATTTTGGTTTGCTTATCCATCATGCATTGTTTTATCGACACATTACTCGTTGGTGGTGTGACTTTAATTGCAATCCACATAGTGATACCACAACTTTTGTTATCGATGGTTATTCATCGTATATACAGACCTATAATTACGGTTAGAAAAAACTTCATTAACAGTAGTGGTAATAGTGACAGTTTATTTGTGTACGTACATGTCTACGAACCTCTATTGCACCTGGTGTCTAAAGACAGGTGGGTGTTTTTGTATTGTATCTAAAATTATTTGGTCATTCTTCTGTTATCCTTACAACTATAAATTATAAAATTACCTTAAGGTCGCAAACTTTTTGAGTTACAGTGTGTTATAGCATACTCTGTGTAGTTGGTACCACAAGTTTGAAATGATATTGCGTCAATTACCTATTTTGTAAGATAGATCAGACCCAGATGGACTCTCACTCTTTTTTCTTGTTTCAGTTCTGAAACTGATAAACACGACACTGAGATAAGTTTGTTAGTGAGTTAAAACCTTTTCCGATCTATTTCTTCTACTTCAATGTAGTACAAAGTTTTCGATCGCATGGTCTTACAGTTGTTATATCTCCACTATATTTAAAAGAACCACATGTATTTAAAGTATTATAGGTACTTTTACATGCCAATTTGAAATTCGAATCGCGATCCTGCTGATACATATAAAGAACTGTTTCATATGGGAATTTACACATCCACTTCATAAAAAAACGAAGGTGACTGTGGTTTTTAATTTGACAGATCGTTGATGGATCGTTCTTTGCAGTTAAAAATCTCCAAGTAGTTAAAGTTAACACCATTTTTAACTTTTGAAATTAACAATGTGCGTGTTGCATTGTTAGAATTACCTATAACTTTCCAGGTAGTAAGTATCGGTTTTCATAACACATGTTAATTTACATTTATATGTGCAGAATAATATAGAAACGTGATGACTGAAGAGTTATAGTCAAAGAATCGTTTAGTTAGAGAATGAAACAAAATGGTAAAATTTAAGCACGCTATTTTTTTCATGGCTGGAATATGCATCGTGCTTCTGGTTTATTTGAACAACTACCTTAAATCAGTCCAAATGAAAGTTTTCAGAAACGAGGAACCAAACATTAATAGTAAGTCCACACTCTACTTAACGTCCCTGAGGTGTTATTTCTAGGCTCTAAATACTTAGTGGACACTTCGAAGTGCAAAATTTTGGACGTAGATCCATTTGACCGACAAGTAAAAGCGTACCATAAAAAAATTGCCTATTATCCTTGTACACACAAGGAACTGTTAACATATGTAACTAAAGATAATAACGTCACCACGCTCCATATTAACACGAAGGCCTTTCCCCAGTACCAAGTAGAACGAGCAACTTGCTGCTCCAGGGAAGTACGTAGAAGAATGAATGCGTACAATCCAGATCGTTACTTTATGTACTGTAAGTCTACAAACAGTTCAACGATTTAGAACTTTAATTTTAGGGTATCTAAGCCTAAGTGCTTTCGAAACAACGTAACGTTGGGAACTAAACCAGTCATGGTAAGTTGTAGGATGTCAAAACAGAGCATATACGAAAATGTACACGCCCCAGTCACGATTACTGAAAAAGTGAAAGAAAAATTAGAAGTTGTCGAATACAGAAAACTTTTTAGTGTGCTTTTAATAGGAATCGACAGTGTTTCGAGACTTAACTTTATCAGAAGTCTCCCGAACTCGTATAAGTTCCTAATGGATAACAACTGGATATCGTTCATAGGTTACAATAAAATTGATGACAACACTTATCCGAACATAATGGCAATTCTAACGGGAAATAAACAAAAGAACTTTTCTAATAAATGTGACACTGATTCAGCCAGTGGATTAAACAAGTGTTATATGCTTTGGGACGACTTTAGTGAAGTAGGATACGTTACCGCGTATGCTGAAGACGAGGTTTCTTTGAGTACTTTCAATCTGGATAAAATGGGGTTTCAGCATTCTCCAACAGACTACTATTTTAGACCGTACTTTCTCGCTAGCTCAACCCTAACAAAATTTAGCTATGAAGGACTAGAGTACTGCACCGGACCAGAGAGTACCGGCGAAAGAGTACTCAACGTAGCGAAAGACTTCGCTACAACTTTTGTAGATTACCCAAGTTTTGGTTTATTCTGGATGAACAGTTTTAGCCACAACACTCTCAACATGGTGTCAATGATGGATGATAAAATAAGACAGTTCTTACAAGATATTACTAATAACGGCGTCTTGGAGAATTCTTTCGTGATTTTTTTAAGCGATCACGGGCTCAGATGTACCGATTTTCGATACTCTTCCATGGGGTGGCTGGAAGAAAGATTGCCATTTTTCTTCATGTGGGTACCACGTCGATTTAGAAAACAGTTTCCAAATGAGTACTTAAATTTGCAACGCAATACTGCCAAACTGACAAATCCGTATGATCTTTTCATGACATTGCAGCACCTGTTGGTACTATCAGATGTTGCCTATATAGAAAAGCCAAGTGTTGATTGTCCAAAATGTAGTTCCTTGTTCACGAAAATGGCAAATGAAAGGTCTTGTCAAGATGCTGGTATTGCTCAACACTGGTGTACCTGTTTGGAGTATACACCAGTGAATCGGAGTACAGAGTTCATTAAAAATGCAGCAGATATTGTGATTAATAAAATACACGAAATTGTAGATGCGCGAAAAGCGGGACATAAATGTGCTAGATTTCTGCTACACAAGGTTATTGCTTCCAGTATTTCTAAACAGACTCTTTTGATAGTTATAGAAACGCGACCGAAAGCAGCGTTTGAGGCGACTCTTTTTTTTAAAGGGGAAAATGCGAGCCATTTTGATCACGTTGATGGAATAAGCAGAATTGACATTTATAAAGAACACAGTTGGTGCGTATCAGGATACACTTTACCAAAATTTTGCTACTGCAAATAAATCTGCAACAAGCATTGTTAATTAATAAAAAGTGTGCGAATATGTAATATAAGTGTTTAAATATGATTCTTTATTCAATAATAATTAGTAATTATGTTACAGTTGGTAACTTAGAATAGTTTGACGTAGTAAAAGCGGTTTTCAAAAATTACGTCAAAAATACTTATATAAATAAATTTACATCTTCGGTGGTAAGACTTTTTCTGTAATGAACCATTTTTGTATCTTTGCAACTGGACACTCGACTCAGTTCAGAATCTGAAAAGAATTTCGCCTTATTGCGTCTATACATTAGGCGACCAGCGGTCGACAGCAGATTATCACACAAAAAATTCGAATTTCGAAAAGACATTCCGTGAAAGCTTGTAAAAATCTTGTAATCTAAAACACCAGAGTATTACTATTCGCTTCAAATTAAGCATTTACCACCTCGCTTGTTTGCGTCATACGCAGGAGGAGGTGAGTCCGGTATACCGACTGGAGTGGTCTGACAACTCCCACTAGTACCTTGAACTTCAAATTTTCTAGTTTCTCTTTCAAACCTAGAATATTTTTGCACCCAAAAGTCCCTAATTTTATTCTTTGTACCTTTTCGAGTTCCTTTTGGATAATCTTTTCATAACGTCTTCATAATCAGGCGGTGCTTCATAATCTGGAGGATCGTCAGGAATTATGATCTCTTCTTCCACTATACCCACATTTTCTTCCAAAATGGCGTTAATTGTCTCAATGTGGTCTTGAATTTGGCGTTGTTGGCGCGTTTTAATGTTGACCCTGTACAACAAAACAATCATCGCGAAAATGAAGCCGATGAAACCTACAAAACTTTCTGTTTTTGTGTTTTAACTGTATGGAAGTGGTACCGAAACTACACAATAAGAAAACCACTGTTGATGTTGCCAGTTCTGAGAAAGCTTCTATTTTCGGGAAGAGGAAATGAGGTGTCTTTGACCATTGTCTTCGATCACGTGGGTCGTTTGAACAGCTGGTGGTAAATTCGTCGCTGTTGTCACCACAGTGATCAAACCCATCACAATTAAGGAGAGTAGAAATGCATCTTTGGTTGTGACAGAGGAAGTCCGACCCTGCTAAACACTGTTTGTAATTGAAAGCTGCATAAACTATCGCTAGTCGAGATTCGGGGCGAAAAAATCCTTTCAATCTTACATAGAACCCTTGCGAAATGGGTACTATGTGTTCTCGTACTGTGGAAGGATAAAAGCGAACCAAGGAAAGTTTTAAGTTTTCAACTATCGGTCCGTACGATGTTAAACCTTGACGGATGACCAATTCAGCACTTCCAGCTAGTAATTGCGTCACTGTTCGCCAATTTATTCATCGATTAGTACCGATTAGTACTTACCGAATCCGGAGAAGCTAAACACTTTCACATACAAATGAGTCTTCATATGCAGATAAGTTTCCGGTGGTTTGATCAGCCAAATACAGTCAAAAGATTTTAGACCTTCGTGTACCATGTCCATCATGGTTATCGCTCCTCCTAAATTGCCCACCTGACCACCACAATCAATATCGGGGGTCAGTTCTCCTCCTGTCCCATTTCCAAGTATGAAGGAGTAGTACGCCCTGAAACCCAAATTAGTGGCCCCGTTGGCGTAGAATCTTATCGTTAACGCAGGACCGGAAGTAACAATTACAGGAGGTCGAAATATGCTTCCGGTTGTTACATAAATTCGTTCTCCATTCCAGTCGAAAAACTGAAATTCAATCGACAATTTAATTTGATTAGGATTATGATGTGGAACTAACGTCTATGATTGAAGAAGCCGCTATTAAAAAATCGGTAAAAACTAGACTGATTCGACACGTTTCGTTGGTTGATTCGCAGGTAATCATGTGTTCCATTGTTAAATCTGCTGGGTATAAATTGGGGAAGAAGGGAGTGTTGATGGCCTGGCTGGTACTGTTCAAGTTGCCAAATTTCGGAAATCCAGTCAAAAGGATTTTGTTACCTACGTGGAAAATTAATTTCGGGTAGGGAAGTAGAAAGAGTACTTACGTTCGGAAAAATAGTCTAAAGTAAAAGCATGTTGGTAATCCCTGTTGTACAAAAACTCAACAACGGCTTTTCGAGTCTGGCTTTTGTATTCTAGAACTGATACATTGCTGGATACAAAACGCCCACAGAACTGTTCAGAAGATTGTTCGAATGTTGGTTCGTAAATCCACACGTAGTCGCAACCGCAAGCATCAAAAACTGTAGAACGGTCGCAGTTTCTTGACAGGTTCAAAAACCTTCCAGTTTTTGAAATTAGAACTGAATGCCACTTCTTGTTACACTTACCTGAATTTGATGTTTACTATACACGAAGGACATGAAATGAATTCGACAGTGCATCGTTTTTGGCTAAGTTTACTTTTTACGAATCTGTCAATTATGTTGCTATGGAATTTAGCTTCCAAAGTTCCTGCTTCTCCATGATCTAAATAAATTCTTTGTCCATTTATGTGACCACAAATATCGTCTAAAAATTGTGTTTCTTGTGGATTGGTAGATGGTGATAACAGCAAAACCAGGGTAAGTGGGAGTCCTAGTTGAATTGTATTTTAATTGGAATTTTTGTGGGCTTGAAATTTACCTGTCAAGTTCATTTTTCACTGACGTGAAGTGAACAACTGGAAACCTATTTACTGATGAAGCCCTAAAAAAGTAATCTGATTTGATAGTCTCTGCGTCGACACTGGGATGGGAAAAGCACGTAACCATAATGTTTTCTCGTGTCACGAAAGTTCCGGTAAATTTTTTAAGATAAAATTGAATAATAGTCTTAATTGATACGATATCTTAGGGGCAGAAAATCCCAATTTTCTGTTACATGCAGGTGTACGAGACTAAGATCATACGTCGTAAAAATTAATTGTAAAAATCAGTGGAATAGATTCATTAACAAAACAAATGCTGTTTCATAAAGATCTGTAAATTATTTCTCTCGTGGTGTCTAAAGCATGGCGGTAGATTCTATAAAGTTGTAATAATAACAACAATACTAAAAGAAGAGAAAAATATAAAATTATACAAATATAACTAGAATTTAACAAGCTCTCAAAAATTAAATCATAGGTATGTTACAAATCGATACAAATATTTGAATATTACAAATTTAAACACACAAGAAAAAAAGAGAAATTGTCATTAAAGTAAGTAGATGCAAATACTCGAGTTATTAGAATGGTATGACGGCAAATTTATATTATGGCAGTCACCAAAAAAACAAACTATCCAGAACGGGTAGCGACAACGGCGCGAAAGGCGTCTCCTCGTGGCTGTGGATTTTAAACAATCGTAATCTTTAGGCTTACTTGTAGCCAAATTTACATGTGGTTAAATTATGCATTAATTCAAGTTAATGATTAAATAAAATGTAAGTATTTATAAAGAATTCATTGTGGTCTCAACAAATTCACATAACACAGAAAACAACGCACATACATGCAATAAATACAAAATCAAATTAATAATTCGAGAATAAATGTTCAAATTCAAGCTGTGAGAAAATAATTCATGTCTAGTCTAGTCTGTGATAAAATTAATTTAACTGCCGATATTTCTTAAGACCTTTTTTTCCAAAATGGATCAACGTTTAAGGTCAGTTTAAATTAAAGTATTGTAAATCGCGAATGAGAAGTTATGAAGTGTGGATAATGTAATAACTTACGGGCCAATTTCAAGTTGGTTTGCAATTAATTGCAAGCTCCGTTGCTATGGTGATCTCGTAGAACTCTTAATACAAACCATTATATTTTTGCGAGGTTACCATAGCAACGCAGCTTGCAATTAATTACAAACCAACTTGAAATTGACCCGTTAGTAAACAAATTCAGAACTTTTGGACACATCATTATTAAAATGAATTTAGTCTGAATAAGTGAATTTCCGCCAAATATCTGTATCTGAACAGTTAAAAATCTTAAAATGAAATGTGAATTATAAATAGTGAAATCAAAATTACACGTGGTGATGAAATAGCCAAACTTTTACATTTTTCAGATTAAAAAAGCATTAACAAACTAATATTGAAATAATTACGCTCATTGAGGAAGACTGTAGCGTCGAATGCGATTCATTTTGTACAAATAATTTCCCTCTGCTGAAATTACAAACAAAGTTACACACGTATCAATTTTATCAGGTTGTTTAGTAGCAAACAAGAGCAAGTTACTTTTTCGCTCAGGAAGTATTGTAATCGAGTCCGTCGGGCGACTCTCTACTTTTACGTTTTCTCGATCCTTCATGACCCCTAGAGTACGAAGAAATAGGTCTCCCGTTTCTGTTTGTCTGTCTGTCTGTCCGTCTGTCCGTCTGTCTGCCGTCCTGATTCTGATTAGACAGAGAATCTCCGAAAGTACTGGGCCGATTGTTGTCAAATTTTGTATTTATATTAGGATTATCATGTAGATAGTAAAACACTAACTAAAATTTGTCTAAACATCGCCACCAATAACGTGATGGCGTCACTTCAAAATTGTAACTCCGTGTTGAGTTTTTACACAAAACGTCCAGATTTTTGGAAAAAAATCAAAATCATAAAACAACATTTTGTAATTTAATTTTGAATCTACCAAATTAAACGCTTTGAAATCTTGCAGAAGTTTTTACAAGTTTAATAGGGGCAACATCAATCTTTTCTTAGCAAGTGCTAGCCCCGCCTATCCCTCCCCTACCTTCTCAGAGGATATGTCATTTGCCAAAATAAATCTTATCTTAGCAAGTACTGGCAAGTACTACCCTCTGAAAAAATAAAGGGCGGGTGGGCGGGGCTAGTTCTTGCTAACATAAGTCTTATTTTGGCAAATGACATATCCTCTAAGAAAGTAAAGGGTGGGTGGGTGGCCAACGCTAGTACTTCACTTATTTCGGCAAATGACATATTATCTGGAAAAATAGGGGGCGGGTGGGCGGGCCTAGTATTAGTTAAGATAAAACTGATTTTGCCCCTATTAATCTTGTAAAAACTTGTGAAATTTAAAGGTGTTATGATGAGTTTTTACTTGTAATTTGCCATTGTATTCATATTTTTTAGATTTGCTTATTCAGGTGGCCAAAAAAATCAACGAATGTGTTAATTTATTTTATTGATTAAATAAGGAACGGCTCACTGCATTTTCCCAGAAAATTTTGGGAATACAATACTGCTATTTTTGGTATTACACTGCACCAATCCAAGTTTATATAGGTGTCCTTGCAAAAATGTTGATGACGTCATCACAAAATTCGGTAAAGTAAAATGCTGAATATAATAATAATAATAAGACTTTATTGCCCAACAGATTATTATCCAATGACAGGACAATATATTATAATTAAATTAAGATACAATTCAAAGAAAACAAAACAATATTATACATAATTAAAGAAATAATTACAAAAATTACAAAATACAGTGCAGTGCTCTTCAAATCTGAACTCTAAATATAAAATAAAAATTAAGTAATATAATGTTATATTGCTTTAAACATTACAGTTCACATCACTAAAGTTGCCTAAAATTTCACTAATACTTGAAACAACTATGTTGCACCGGTCTGCTACTTGATTCATAGATTTGTACATCCTGTATAATGGTGAATTTAACCCTAAATTAGTCCTACAATGGGGTAATTTGAACGGATTTGGATTTCTACTTTATATGTTTCACTGCACTTTAGGTGCGAGGGAAGTTCTGTCGAAACAATTTTTTAAGACTGCCATACTTTGGAAAAGTATATTGTTTTAATATGTGTAGACTTATTTTCACAACATGAAACTTAAAACTTGTTTAAAGTGGAAAATTTGTATAAGAAAATATCGATTTTCCAATTAGGTTCCGCCCCATAATTCCAAAACCTATATTTTCTTGCAAAAACCATTTTAATTATGTTTTAAGTTTCTTATTATGAAAAGATGGCCATGTTTATTAAGAAAAAAAAAAGGCAAAATATCAGGAAGTATTGTAATGAAGTCCGTCGGCCGACTCTCTACTTTTACATTTTCTTGATCTTTCATGACCCCTAGATTATGAAGAAATGGGTCTCCCGTTCCCGTCTGTCTGTCTGTCTGTCTGTCCGTTTGTGTGCCGTCCCGATTTTTATTTATTTAAAGAAAAATCTGAGTCTTCCTAAGAACAGGAGTTTCTGCTAGACACAACTGAAAGTACCATCGTGTAGCTCCAGCTCAAAATTTGACCAAATTTTTTATCTGAATCGGTTCGTGGCTTCAGGAATTCTTTGCCACCTATAAAAACGAAAAACGGCTTGTTTTAGTCCCAAAATGGCAATATTCCAAGATTGATAGGAGTACATTTTTACCTTCGGATTTAGAAAACTATATTTTTGTATTTGTTGTTATTTAAACACTTAAGAACACTGAGGCATAAATTTTTCAAACGTCATCAAAAATTCTCAAAAAATTTGCAGGTTTAGAATTAGATCCAGAGAAACTATTTCCCATGCCCAGTTTCTGAAATTGCGGCTATTTTTTTTCAGATATTCTTCTAAAATAAATTTAGCAAACTTTGGGCTAGAAAACTTCAATTTTGAAAAAACATATTTTTCGAAAGGGCTTTTAGATTTAGAAGGGAGTTGATTTTTCTGATATTCGCAACTTTTATGTTATGTTTAAAGAAAAATCCAGGTCTCTCTACTAAGCGGAACTTCTTTTGGACACAACTGAAAGTACCATCTTGTAACTTCAACTCAAAATTTGTTCAAACTTTTAACCTGATTCGGTCCGTGGGTTTAGGAAACCTCTAAAATCTGCAAACATCATTTCCTCTACTTATAAAACACTGATACAGCAAGTTTTATACATTTTTAACTCTCCGATTTGGAAAACCATATTTTAGTACTTCTTCCAACGCAAGAGCACTGAGATATAAATTTTTCAAATGCCTTCAAAAATTCTCAGAAAATTTGAGGGGTAGAACTGGTTCCAGAGAAACAATTTCCGGTATGGGGCTCCGAAATTTCACCTATTTTTTAAAATATTGTACGAGAAACAATTTAACAATATTTTGAGCTACCAAACGCCAAGTTCGAACCGATGCACCGATTTCGAAGAGATTTAATTTTTTTGATAATCACAACCTTTCTGCTTTTAAATAAAAATCCGGGTCCTCCTAAAACCAAGAATTTCTCTAGACACAATCATCTAGCTCCAGTTCAAAATTTGCCAACTTTTTGTCTGATTCGATTCGTGGCTTTAGGAAGTCTTTGCCTCCTACAAAAATGGCTTCTTCTAGTCCCAAAATAGTAATAATCCAGCCTTTATACATTTTAACCTTCAGAATTAGAAAATCAGATTTTTGTACTTCTTCCAACTAAACACTCAAAAACACTGAGGTATACATTTTTCAAATGCCTTCGAAAATTTTCAGAAAATTTGCAGAGGTAGAATTTGATCTAGAGAAACAATTTTCGACATCGGGCTTTTGAAATTTCGCCCATTTTTTAAAATATTGTACGAAAACCAGTTTAACAAAATTTTGAGATACCAAACCCCAAATTAAAAAAAATATATATTTTTCGAACCGGTACTCGATTTCGAAGAAATTCAATTTTTTTGATATTCATAACCTTTCTGCATTTACAGAAAAATCCGAGTCCTCCTAAGAACAGAAGTTTCTTCTAGACACAGCTGAAAGTACCATTGTGTAGTTCCAGTTTAAAATT